TATTTCAGGGAAGATATTATTGCCATAGAGGGACTGCAACAAAGATTCACAAGACTTATTCTTGGGCTGGTGGGACTGTCCTATGAAGAGAGATTGGGCAAACTGGGTCTCTATTCTGTACAGTTTTGAAGAATGAGAAGTGATCTTACCGAAACTTCAAAATTACTTAAACGGACACACAAGGTTGATGCAGGTAAGGTGTTTCCCGTCATTGGGTAGTCTAAAACTAGGGGGCACAATTTAAAAATAAAGGGGAATGCCACTTAGAGATCAGGAGGATTGCAAACCTTTGGAATTCTCAGAGGGCTGTGGAAGCTCAGTATTTCAGCATGTTTAACATAAAGATTGATAGATTTCTGATGAAAAGTGACATACAGGGTTATGGGGATGAGTTGGGCGAAAGGTACTGAAGTGTTAGATTAGCCACAATAGTGTTCAGTGGTGGAGCAGGCTCAAAGGGCTGAATAGTCTACTCCTGTTCCTCCCTTCCTAAGAGATGAAACTGGTTGATTTGTCTACTTTCTTAGCCAGGGAAGTGGAGGTCAATTGTGGAAACTCTACTGCCACCCTAGCTGAGATCAGCCAACTCCCAATACAGTGGAAATTATTCTGATTTTTGATTTATTATTGTCACTTGAACTGACATACAGTGAAAAGTATTGTTTTGTATGCTAACCAGACAAATCATAGCTTACCTAAGTACATCAGGGTAATAAAACAGAATATAGAACAGTGTTACAGCTACAAAGGTACAGAGAAACATCAACTCTAATCTATGAGGTGTCCATTCATAAGCCTGTTAACAGTGGGAAATAAGCTGTTCTTAAATCTGTTGGTATGTGTTTTTCAAACTTTTGCATTTTCTGCCTGATGGAAGAGGGTGGAAGACAGTATAACTGGGTAGGAGGGGTCTTTGATTACGTTGGCTGCTTTCCCAAGATAGCGGGAAGCGTAGACGGAGTCAATGGAATGAAGGCTGGTTTTCATGATGGATCGGGCTGTGTTTATAATTCTCTGTAATTTCTTGCAGTCTTGAGCAAAGCAGTTGCCATACCAAGCTGTGATGCCTCCGGATTTGATGCTTTCTGTGGTGTATCTATAAAAATTAAGAGTTGTTGTGGACATGCCGAATTTCCTTAGCCTTCTGAGGAAGTAGAGGTGTTGGTGTGCTTTCTGACTGTAGGGTCAACATGGAAAACCTATTCTTAGTGATAATCCATTGAATAATTTTTGTAGGCATCTTCATCAGTTGTTTTCAATGCCAATGTTTGGAAATACCTCTTTGGTTACCGACAATGATTTTGATAAACCAACAAAATAGCCTTTTAAATTTTAAACTTTATCAAAGAGCTCTTCTTGTTGCCATTTTGCCATACGTGGTGTCACTTCAGCAGTTTTAGCTATGTATGTCAATCCAATGGTTCAGATTACAATTATTGCAATCATGTCTCCAAGTTACAGACAAGGAACCATCATACTTCTGCTTGTGTAAAGTACTAATATTTCAATTCTTTCAATCAGAGAAAGAAAAATAAACGTTTGACCGCTTGAAGTTTTTTTTTTTAAACATACCCAGGTTGGGGGAAAAGGTTAATTTTGGTGGTTGAATACCCTAGGAAAGACAAACAGAGTGGACAGTGATAAAGTCAGGTTGTCAAAGAAATGAATATCAGTAATGAATAATGGGCTGAAACTCCCCTTGCTCTTAGTTTTGTGGAGATGCCCACAAATATATATACTCTGCAGTTCCACCATAGCCTGCAGCAGTAAAGGAATGGAAAACCACAGCTGCAGGATTTCAAAGATTAGAATAACCAAATATTTAAGCTTTCCTGCGCGACGTAGTTATAAAAATAAATCAAAAAGGCAGGCAATTAGGGCAAAATGTTTCAGTGACCTAGGTCTATAAGTACAGTTTGTAACCAACAGCACAGCTGCACTAACAAAATTCCTCTTGATTAGCTAAACAAGCAAAGCATGAGGTCTCTTGATGGCTTTCTCTAACTTTGCCTTCAATTCAGCTGCAAGGATAATTCAACAGTCTGTATACACAATGCTACATATAAAGTACTTTGTGAATGAAATAGGTTTGTTTGCCTCTTGCATCAACACTCGGCAAATGATCAGCTTTAAACGGAATCATTTTTGTCATTTCTTTACATCCTCACTCTCAGCTTTTTGAATGGACAACTTCAAAAATCTATTCAGATAATAAAGGGCACTTTTTGACAAAATATAAAGTTTCCACTTAAAAACTGAATTTTTCTGAATTAGTCTTAAACATAAACTTTTGAGGTTTCACACAAATTTTCTTTAGATTTAGTTCTGAAGCTAATCAAACTCAACTACAATATTGCTATCCATAAATACTGATGTTTTTCTTGGATAACATAAAACTCAAAACTTTCAGTAGGAATTCTTTAGACATAGCCGAAGATTTTTCTTGACTAATTTACTGAACTTATCTAGCTAAGGAGTTGCTTTGTCTCCCTGACTCATTGATTTCATCAACTTGGCATAAAGGCTGCAACAGCTTAAAGTTCTAAAATAACACCTAAATCTACTAGACCTACCAGAGCAACCAGCCCTTAAGGTAACTCAAACATCGATTAGACCAAAAGAAAATGGTCCAGCAAAGTGGCAAAGTTCCTAAATAATTATAACATATTGTTTCATTACAGTAATCTATACAGTACTGCTACCAGTTTTAAAACCACACAATTTCAGCAACCATGTTAAGTACTGCAGAGTTTGAAGTCATTGTATTTCTGAATCATTGGAACAATTTACTGTTGTGTCATTATTTTACATGTTACCCTTCTTTTCCTCTATTTTCTCCAAGATAAAAGGCAGATGAAATGCAATAAAGATAATCTTGGAACTCAAAACTATGGGAATCAGATTTAGCCTACTTGTGCCTGTGTCAGCTCTCTTACAGACTGTTTTTCTTCGTCTTTACCTATATCCATAAAATTCTCCCTGAAATAACAGCATATCTGACGTGTCACAGCCAAAGACAATATGTTTCCACTGAATGGTTGTAGAATGGTACTCCAGTAACATCTTCCTTCGAGGAGAAGGTTCTGTGTCACTCTGAAATGCTTCATTTACTTACCAACTATTGAAATTCAGCAGCACATTGGTCAGCATGAAAATTTTGACATAGAAAGATTTAACTACATAAGAGACAATGAATTACAGATTATTGGAAATTATTAGCAATTTGTGTGCAAAATTCCCTTTGTATTGTAAATATTTTGTACTGTTTATCAGGGTCAAATATCAAAAATTTTAGGTTGACAACTAATGGTGGTTATGTTGATGACCAATATGGGGTTCTGAATTAAGAAGATTGACTGTACTGGGAAAAAAAGATTCCAAGATTCCCTGTTACCATACCCAGCACTGCAGTTACTTTTGGCTGCCTACCACTCATTACAGTATAATAAAAGATTTGCTGGTGACATGGGTTTTCCTTATGCACTTAAGGGATGACTGGCAGATCTGAGAAAGTGAAAATATGACAACGATTAAAATGTAATATTTTATTATTAAAGCCCAACATCAGACAAAATTAAATAGTAGCGTTCCTTAAATTAAACTCTGCGGCTATCAACAGTACCTAGGAATTTGTTTAAGTTCAATCAAACCAAAGGCTGATTGATGTTGATCAAAAGAAACAAGGTCAGTAATTTTACAGAAACAGCAAAACATGAGCTACAGTTTAAAGAAAAGGACATTATGAAAATCCAAGGTATGAGGGACAGCAAACTAAAGGGTATTCAAAATCAAAAATTGGCTGAGATAAGTTGCTTCATTTAGTCACTAATAAACTATCTGAAGTAAAGCAGACACCAGGTCAAGGCAAGCCCCACATTAAAGCAACCTCTACAACTTTTGTACTGATGTGTTATGGTTTTAGATACAGCAGCATTCTAATTCCTGGTTACAATAATAACCATATAAAAATAATTCCATTCGTATTGTGCCTTTAATTTGAATAAACATCCAAAAGTCATCACAAGTGGTGTAAGAGAAAATATGGACACCAAACCTAAAAATAGAAATATTAGGAAGAGTCACCAAAAAACTGAACTGGATGAGTGAATGGACTCAAAATTGGAACTGTGTAGAAGTGGTCTGGATGTCTAGTGACAGGGCCACAAAAGACGGGTCAAGGGAGAAGTATCCAAGAGAACAGGATAAGAGGATTACAGTGTTTTGGGAAGAAGGGAAGCTGAAGCAGTGTGTACTACATAAGAAGATCATGGAACAGCTTAAAATATAGATGAGAATTTTAAATTCTCAGCTCTAAGGTACATACATAAGATGTAGGTGAGCAAGGGAAGGGAATGGGAGGGGGCACAAAATTGAATTGGGGTGTGTTGGGGAATCTGACTTTTAACATTTACCTCGAAGTTAAAACTGTCCCTATCATCTACGGACAGTAGTCTCACATCACCTCAGCTTTACATTAAATACAGTATCCTTTTAACTGAATGACAAACTAAATTTAAAGTACTCAAAGATCTAGTGGGCAGTTGGCAAACTTTCATTTGAATGATTTTGAAAAAAATTACTCCTAACACTGTCTCATAACACCTTAGTCCACTGAGGTAAGAATGTCTGAACCTCAATTTTATTTTTGAAGTCAACATCATCTACAATAAGGTGCAGCCATCAGCATCACTGAAGGTTGTTCACTGAATTTTGCTGTCTACAAATCAAAAATAGGAGTGACCATGTGGCCAGTTATGTCTGTTTTGCAATTTTTGTCAGCCATGACAGTTGTTCATCTTTTTCATCACACCAGGAACAGATTCTACAAATGCCATTCTATGTTAGCTTTAATACATACATTAAATGGGCTTAAAGATCCCTCAAGATCATTTGTTAAAATACCTTAATTTGTAGAAAACATGTACAAGTCAGAACTGTTGTGATTAGCGATACATTGAAAACACTGCAATGATTTAGAACTTGATTCTATAAATTCTTACCTCTCGTTTTTGACTTATCCAACTGATGACAAAAGATATTGATGACATCAAGAAAGGTTGCTCTGGTAAGGAAACAAGGGTTCTGCCTAGAAAACAATAAATCAGTAACAATCAACAATGTAAACTAATTAAAGAATAAACAGCTATTAGGTTACAACAAAAGCAAACCATCATGCAACCAGTGAGAAAATAACAAATTGAGTTCATGATGTCCATAAGAGGGAAAGGGAAGTGGAGCAAAGTCAACACTGGAATACTGTATTGTATTTCAAACAGTTAGCTGAGTTGAAATGACTAAACTGTAGCAAAACCAGAATAAAAGATTTATAAAAGGTTTACAAACTTGACTAAGAATTTGTCTTGTTATAATCTATGGTATTTTCTTTGCATACTGCGTTGTTTTTACACAGTCATATCAGTGCTCTTAGCCAGATCAATTTTGAAAATATGCTTATCTTTATATTTTCGTCAAGAAATGGAATACATTTAAATAATAAGTGGGCTTTAAAAATGCTATTAAATTTTATTTTTGATAGAAGATCAGAGCAGATGTTCAGGAAAAACCCCAGTCATTGACAAGCAACCATGTACTTTTTGTTCAAGGATCACCAAAGTATTTACAATTGAGACTGTCCAGCCCGTATTTAAAATAAAAAATCTGTTACAACTTAGTTAGGTTGTAGGGTCTTATCTCATTAATTAACAAAAAAAAGTGTCAGATGTCAAATACGTTTCACTAAGAGGTCCTAATTATCAGCAACTATGACTTGGACTGATGTATAATGTCTAAGAATTTTTTTAAAAATGATAATGCTTACCAATGAAAACTGGGTGGTTGAGTGACCAAGAACAAAATTTTTCACTTTTAGGAGTTAAAATTAAAATGCAACCCGAATGGATGAGATCAAAAATTCATTTCTTGTGAATGGTTATGACAGCCCTAAGTGAAACAAGTGTAGGCAGTTTCAATCCACCTTGAAGGGAGTATCAATTCCTCACTGATTCAAAATTACTGATAATTCAGCCATGTCATAGACCATAAACGTGGTTTGCATGGGACATGAAAAATGCTGTACCCATAAAGTGGGAGTGTTATATTTGAAACCTGTTGGTAAGGTAGCACTGCGGACCTTTAGTTTGTATCCTAGACCTATTATGGTGGCTTGTATAACAAGAAGCAAAATGGGTTCAAAAGCTCAATAAACGGCTTTGAGTGAAATTCATACCGGTTTATTCTGTCGCTTTAAGAGTATAAGGGGGAAGGTACGGTGCACTAACTGATTGAAATGTATAAAATTCCAACAGGGATGGACATACCCAATGCAGGGAGGGTGATTTCCCTGTTGGGAAGTCTAGAACCACATAGTCAGAGTCTCTGGATACAGGGTAGGTAATTTAGGACAGAGATGAGGAAACATTTCTTCATTCAAAGGGTAGTGAACCTGTGGAATTTCCTAACAGAGAAGATTGTGGAACCAAGTCACTGAATATATTCGAGAGAGAGAGAGAGAGAGACAGGTAAATTTTTAGATATGAATGGCACATACAGCTAAGGAGAGAAAGTGAGAATATTGCATTGAGATAGAGGATCAGCCATGATCATATTGAACTACGGAGCAGGCTTCAAAGGGTGAATGGCCTACTCCTGCTCCTATTTGCTATGTTTCTAAACCATTAACAAATTCAGTTATTAAAATTGATTAATTTCACAAAAATTACAAGACTTTCCTCATCAGCTATTCTGTTCCAAGGTATAAACAGGGCTTCTGACAAAGTAGCAGTATCAGAATGGAAGAAGCTGGAAGAAATTCACTCCAATTATCTTAAAGAAGCCCATTTAAAACTCATGACATTTTCTTGCATTTCATACAAATCATACAAACTCTTAAAGATATATTCATTTGTACTTTTTTCCTCAGAAAGTACAACTAATCTTAAGAAGCAGGTGATTAATGTGCAATTTTGTTCATTCAGTCCATCAAAGATATTTTATTGTTATGTTTATGTGATCACGAACAGTCAAAAGAAAGCTTCCCCACTATGTAGGTTGCTTCTGGGATTCCAGTTCCAACACCTGTTGCATATGGTACTCTCCAGTTATGTGCCAGTGTTGCCAAAGCAAAGCAGGGCTTCCCAAAGTGGGACTGTGAACCCATGTGGGTTCATCAGCTCAATCTTTGGCATTGTGAGCTCTGAGCAGGAATGGACTCTGTGGAGCCCCAATTATAACAGCTGTAAAGTTTTCATTCCACGCTAACAGATCTCATTGTGGAGTCACAATAACTTTCAAGCCTCAAAATGAGGTCACAGAGGGAAAAGTTTTGGGAAGCACTGAAGCAAAAATATTGATGAATGACAGGCGGTGATTAGGCACAAGAAAACTTTTGGCTTGTATTCCCTCTCCCAGCATACACTGTATAATACAATTAGAACATTTCCCATATTTTTGTAAATGTCTGCATGGGTCTAGTACTTTTTAAATACCTCTAGCTACTATCCTTTATGCATAGATATGTGTTGCTATTTATAGTAATGCTTGTGTTTTAACTTTAGTTATGATTTTCTTCGGGGGGGGGTAGCGAATCAGGTGAAAGGATAACATACCACAGTTGCAGTCACATAGAACATTTAGTGGCTTTGGCCAATGTACAAAGTAAGCCTTTTATGTGCATAAGCACCATGTGAAAAAAGCAACAATGGATAGGAAAAGTCAATTACAAGTGACAAAACTGAATAGATCTACTGAATTGAACTAGCATGCTAGAAAAATAATTTAGAAAAGAAAAATCAGTGGAATCTACTGTCCAATATGAGTATGAAAACAACTTCACAGGATTATATTGCAAGTTCCATTTTAGATTCACTTTGAGTCCTATTCTTCAGTTGCTTCACTTAAAACTTCAAATGCCAACAATTAAAAAGAAAATAATTTCCATATGCATATGACATTCACAAAAAAAAGCATTGTATCAGTGCACTGCAGCAAAGTTGTCAAGTGCATCTGTTTATCTAAGATTCTCATTAGAGATAGTTGTCTATTGACATGGAGACTCAAGGCTGAAATTTACATTTCTTTTGTTAAGTGTGAGTTGGAAGATTTCTCGCCGCAAGGACCAGAGAGTTCTCTTGCTATATCTTACCAAACATGTCTCATTAGTTTTCCGCCCCACCCTTTTGGTGTCTCTCATATTTGATTTCCACCCCATCTTACCAAGTGTAGTTCCGAGGACAAACATGCCACTCACTACCTCTGTCAGGGTTCACTGGCAACCCATGTCGTGGACGTGGACGAGAACTGTCGCACTGGAGCTACCCTGCACAGATGTTGACATTTGCCCCAAATGTGCCAGACATGAATCTGGGGTTTTTCACTTTGTGGACAGGGTACTGGAGGCCCAGTTGGACAAGATGGTGCCAACACAGGTCTTTCTCCACCCCAAGAACTATCAGTGGAGGCCACGATACCATACCATGCAAGCCTGGTCCAAGGGTGCCTGGACTGGTATCAGAGGCTGACCTTGACTTACTGTCCCAGGAACACCAAAGCAAAGGCCTGCTGACAACTACGGCAACTTTTCTGGTCCTGTTTCTATGTCCAACAGTGAGGTAAGCCAGCAGAAATATGAGCATGGTATTTCTAGCTGAGGGGACAAAGCATGAAAAGGCAAGACAAAGCAATGCAAGCCAAGGATGCTGTGAGCATTCAGGTAGGGTCTAAGAGTGTTCAAAATCCCAGAGATACAGCCTGGTCTAGTCCATGAGCTGAGTCCATGTCCCTGAGTACTCAGTGTCCTAGCTACAACATTAATAGTTGTGGTGCAGTACTGAAGTGCAGAAGTATCTTGAAAATAGATCAGAAATATGTCATAAGGGTTCTTAGAGGCTGACAAAAGTAGGATCCCAATATCTGTTGATTCAGCTGGGTGGTCACAGCTCATAAGGCTTGTCCTGAGAAGTTGGTGCCCAGTTTAAAACATGGTGGTGGTGGTGGTGGTGGTTTACAGCAAGTGGTGAGCTAAAGCCACCAGATGCTCGCTTTGGTTTCCTGGTCAAGTTTTCCTGATATTTGAACTTATTTGGTGAGTTTGGTAAGATAGGTGTCTGAATATTAGTAAGGTGAGTTGTGGCATTAAAGAAGTGATTTATTTTATTTATTTTTGTGCAAGGAGTCTTGCGAGTAAGAAACAGAAGTTGAGAGAATGAAATACCTCATGGGGATAAGATATTATTGCTACCACAGATATATTGAGCGAAGGGCTCAATATTCTGGTACATAGGATCTTGTAAGAGAGGAGGTTGCGTTGCAATATTTATCAAGGAGTTAATTACTGCAAAAATAAGCTATACTATCTTAGAAGGTTCCTAAATTGAGGCCATATGGACAGAAGATAAAATCAAATGAAGGGTACTCAAATTACTCCGAAATCGTCATGGAGAAATAGAAGGGCAGATTGTAGGGAAATTTTGAAGTGTTAAAAAAAGGGTAATAATGGGAGCGATATGCAACTCCACTAATATGAACTGGTACAGACAAAGTGTAAAAGGCTTAGGGCAAACGAAATTCTAACAATGTATCCAGAAAAGTTTTTAAAGTGAGCAAGAACAAAGTCCTACTAGAGAGAGGATGGCGCTGGACCTAATTTTTGGGAGTGAAGACTGACAAGTGGTAGAAGTGGGGGAGAATTTCAGTGATAGTGACCATAACTCAGTAAGATATAAGCTACTCATGACAAAGAACAAAGGTAAACTGAAATAAGAATCTCAAAGTTGTTATAACACAGGAGGCGGCCATTTGGCCCATCGTGCCTTCACCAGTTCTATTACCTAGTGCCAATCTCTGGTTTTTTCTGCACTCTATTTCTATCCAAGTAATCATCCAATGCCTTCTTGAATGCCTCAACTGAACCTGTTTCCACCACATTCCCAGGCAGTGCAATCCATATGCTAATTACTCGCTGTGTGAAAAGGCTTGTTCGCCCATGTTTCATTTGCACATCCCTTTAAATCTATACCCTCTGAATCTGTAATGAGTGGGAATAGCTTCTCCTTATCTACTCTATCTAGCCAACTCATGAATTTTATAACC